TGGCAAGTACATGTTCACGGGACTTTTACGGTCTATCTTAAAACCCTTCATTTAGTCGTGTTGCGATTTTTATTTCAGTTGTGTCGACTTGGATGTGTGATGTGATTTCGGCTATTTAGGTGACGAAGAACAGTTTAAAGGTTTAGCTATTAACAGGCCACCATGACTGAGACTCCGGTAGCAGTTAATGACTACCTTTCTGCACTCTTGCTCCGGATTGTTGCTTAAATGGCAATAAAAGCAGAGTTCCTGTAACTGTGCGGTGTATGGGGCACAGGGAAAAGGCAAAAACGTAAATATCTGCCAACCATTTTCTGAATTTACCATAAAAATTGCTAGGTTTTATTAGACGCATTACTAACAACTTTGAGTTGTCAGTAAGTCTATAACAATGTTGCCATTTCATTCTGTTCCATTAAACCTAAAACTAGAGCTGTTCGACTTTGGTGTCGTTCTAAACGTATTTAACTCGACTTCATTAGAGTTAGCATAACTTGTCCTTCTGAAAATGAGATCCCTTAATTTATTTAATCGGTTAAACTTACAATGTTTTATAGTAGACATGGAACCGTGCAGGCTTAATCGATTCTGTGGGTTTCTGTCACTGGTAGTGGTGTGCAATACTTCATATTTTGGTATCGATCTGATACCAAGTAAATACAGGCCAGTATCGCCGATACCGATACTTTCAATAAATAAGGTGGATGCGTCCTTGAGTTGCTAAATCTCAATTTTCATGACGTTAAATGTTTTTTATGATGTTTCCTTTTTTATTATTAAATAGTTAAAACTCAGGACATAATTAGGACAAAGTTTATAATTAAATAGAAAATGCTTTATTATTTTGGCGGGGTGTGGCCTGCGAGGCCGCATATGCAATCACGCCTCGCCGGCTTAAAACCTGTGCTCTGCTTGTGTTGTTGGTGGTGGTGGTGATGGCAGCGGGAGAGCTGCAGCCGTTGAATGTACTGTTACAGCAACCGCATGATTATTGTGAGAATAAATGATGCTGCGAAGCATGAAAACGCCATCGGGTCTGCTGTGGTGGTTTACAGTTTACAGTTATTTTTTTTTCTTAAATAAAAAGCGCTCGCAAACCAGTAAACAAATTAAAACAAGTACTGTTGAGAAACTATAAAACAAAACACAAGGGAGGGGAGGGGGAGCAAAGCATGCCCGCTCTGCACAGCATTGCAAACAGCAACCTGCGTAAAACTTTACAGTTGCACAGAAAAAGCTACAAATGAATTGTTCACTTGTGAGCTATTACCTCTACTGAACATATTTAACTAAACATTAACAGGCAATAGATGGTGTTTAAGCTCTGAAGTCAGCCACATTCAGCACAGTAAAAACCACAATGTGGTCATTTACTCATGTAAACACATATGAACAGTGATGCTGTTGTTTTAATTATAAGCTGCCAATCTGTGGCTGCAAATCTTTGGCCAGAACAAAGTCAAATTTGCAAAGCGATTCACACATCCAGCATCATTTTGCAACACCACATGTCTCAGTTCAGGTGGCGTGCTTACGTTTAAAACAGCGCACTCGCTCGAGTTTTAGGGGTCATACAGCGTACCTGTCTCCACTAAAACAGCAGACGGCCCATGTGGTTTAAATGGGCAGGAATCAATACCACTGGTTGCTGTCTGAAAGATTCAGTGCTCATATTTACATTCTCAAAGGGCCTATTTTCATTGCCAGGCTAACAAAGAGATCTATCATCACCCTTAACTCCCTGTTCTTGTCAGACATCACCGACATTAACCCCGACGCATTCACGCTCAGATCTATCGGCCTTCTACGGTCAGAAGACTGAGAGGACAAGAATGATCTGAGAGAAATCACATGTATACCTTTTCACCTACAACAAACCGTCTTGACAGTTTGGGCACAGAGGAAAGCGATGTGTGTGGACTGGAATTCAAAGGGTCACCTTAAAATGTATCAGGGTTAGTACACCAGCGAAGACCTCCTACACTCTTTTATTTGGCTGTTCCCCTCCACCCCTCCCATTCCTCTCTTAAACAAATCCTTTTCTTTCTGACAGCCGACTAACTCTTAAATAAATCCTGGTTGATGTGAGATCCTGGCTGTTCCCTTCTGACCCAGACAATACCCCTCCAAATACACACACAAACACAAAGAACCTCAGGGCAGAGCTGTGACCTATCCAGACTTTGACCTGTGTGGGTGAAGCAGTCAAAGTCCTCGTGGACCCAGATGTCCTCTTGGCTCTTAAAGCAGCACAGTCTCTCCTCTAATTTTTCCCCCCCTCCTCTTCTCTTCTTCATTCGCACTCCTTTCCCTCCAGCCCCTCTGGAGACTCAGTGATAACCAGGGTAGACGTGAGGAGGAAGGGAGCAGAGGAAGGAGCGGTGGAAGGAGGGGAAGGAGGGTGGTGAGAGAGAGTTGCGATGTCCCGACTCAGGGATATTTAATCCTCTCTGTGAGGGGCAAGAGTTTCTCTCCCTGTTTGGTTTTGGGAGATCAAAGAGGCCGTTCAGATTCGGAGCGAGATGGTTCGCTCTTTCTCCCATTGAGCCGACAGACGCTGCACACACTCGCACATACACTCACATACTTGGGGTGAGCTGTGAGGACACTGTGGTGGTAATGAGGCAGTGATTGATGAGACTTTATGCTTCTTTGCTTCACAGTCTTAAACCACCAGTGTTTGAGCAGACTCCAAATGAAATCAAATCTGTCTGCAGAAAGAAATCAGTTAGTTAAGACAGGAAAAAGAAAAACACAATTAGCTTCTATTAGCAGTATCATAAAATGTTTCTTTTGCTTGTTTTGTTTCTCACTTATAATCACAGAATTAATTTCTTGCTTTGGGAATCTTTGTCCTCCCACGTGCTCCCACTGTGTTTCTTCATCTGGCATCGGCCCAGCAAAACAAACACACCTGGAGTCGGGTCAGTGTGGTGGTATTTGCACTCATCTGCAGTAGGAGAACACACCAAATGCAGCTGGCTGTGGGCCGTGGCCCTAATGCTAATCTGAGTGCATTTCAAAAAAACATTTTCCCACTGCTTTGGACATTCGCCAGGACAAAGTTGATAATTCAGCTATCAGGAATTGGAACAATGCTCTAAAAAAAGAAGATTTCTAAACTCTTGGTCTCGATATCTTAGAGTGATCAATTTTTAACAAATCTTCCATTCCAGTGTAAGACGAGCATGCAAAATGGCATCACCAATTTAATTTCAGCGCTCATCAATTTCTTGTGCTGTCAAATTAAAGCAAAATAGCCACGGAAAATAAATACATTGCATAAAGTTGATTATCTGCAAACTTGATAAAACTCATAAGTACTTTTCCATTGTTTCTCTGGTTTAACGAATGCATGAAAAAGTATGATTAAGCTGGCATCGCTTTAATTGTTATCCTCACAAATGGTCCTTTCAGTCTTCTCTGCAAAGGTAGGTGGAATACTAAACAACAATCAAACTTAGAATCCATCCATCCATCCATTCGCAAACTTGGAATCCTTTTAATAATATTTTTCATCAGGACAGATTTTTTTCAGCTTTCATTTATTTGTTCTAATTAATCAAAAACATTTTAATCTTAGTGGTTTGTAATCAGAATTATTACCATAAGTATAAGGGACACTTTTGCTAGAAATTGGATGAAAAATCCAGAGCGTCCAGAGAGTCCAGAGTTACATTTTGTATAAAGATTTGATTTTGATGGGAGTGTAGATGCAGTAGGTACAGATACTGGGCACTGAACAACAAAAGCAGTGACTCTAAGAGTCCTGTACATTGGGCATATTTTGCATTTGATTGGGATGATCAGGAGCAGTGTGGGTCACATAAGAGTCACAAAGATTTGTGTCGTTTTGTTCAGGCTAAGCAATAACTCATAATGTGCTCATACAGTCTAGGCTACACTCATTAATGTTAGATTTCCCAGAAAATACCATCAATGCTGCAGATTGTTTGTGGTTTTGTTTTTGTTTCAATGTATGTTAAAAACATTAACTTAATATTTTTATTTTATTAATACCAGTTGTAATTCTGTGGTGCTGTTCTGGTCTTTAAGTGATGACGTATGAAACCTGCTTCTTTCCAAACTACTCTGCGTTTATTAAGGCTGTTGTGTTTTTAACATGTTTTAATGCTTTTTATCTTGTTCTATTTAAACTGAACAAGCCCGTGAAAAAAGGCAGTGATCACTGTCGGCCTCTCTCAGTTTTATTACCACTGTTTATTTTAATGCTCAGTTTTTAAAACCTTACAATGTAACTACAGCACAGCCCATGCAGCAGTATATTAATGACTAACCTCGTATTGTGGATGGATTATCTCAGTTGTTCTCCTGACTGAAGTTTGGTCCGTTTACAGCATCCTGCCATGCGATTGCATTTGTCCCTAACCATCAGGAACCCTCACGTTAACTTTTATCGAGTGGAAAAAAAAATTGCATTCATCCTCCTGCTTCACTGTGCTAATGTGTTTATATTATTCTAACCATAGCTGTGTAGCTAGCCACCACGTAGCATATCATTATATACCAGCTAGTCCAACTTCGTAACCCTACAAACGTCACTGCTGTTTAGTTTTCTCTCTTCATTTATGTCGGAAGTGATAACAGAGCTGTACGTTTTAATTTTTTCAGAAATCTCTCAGTCAGAGCATGCTATACCATCTTTAGATAAAAGCTAGCAAGCTAACTTCCTGCTAACTTCTGACTCCGTTAAATGACATAGATTTTGTTTTCATGGATGCCTGGATGTTAAACTTAATTCTTACACTTGGTAAAGTAGCAACACTGATCATTTTATTGAAGATGAAAGAATTTAGACAGTATTTAACTCTCAGTGATGCTGCAGTGTTCCTTTGACTTTGGGACCTGAAACTGTCACGGCCAGATCAGCAGGCCGCTGACTAGTAGTGTTCTCTCTCTTGCTCTCTCTCTCTCTCTCTTGCTCTCTCTCTCGCTCTCCCGCCAGGGCGGAACTCATGGTGGGTTCGCGCCCTTGGCCCACGCCCTTCTGAAGAGGAAACACCTGGGCCTCATCAGTGCAGCCAGCATTTAAGCCAGGGAGTGGCTTCTACTCATCGCTGGATCGTTGTGTGTGACTCGCGTCAGTGCAGCCCGGCTCTGAGCAAGTTCTCTTTTGCTTCCCTGTGCAAAACCTCTAACGTGTGTTTCCTTCTGTACATAGATCCCCTGGACCCGACCCTGCATTCCCCGAGCGGATTCCCTTTTTGTGTGAGTGTCAGAAGAGGAGCAAGTGTCTTTTCCCTACCTGGATTTCCCCGGAGCCTTTTCCCTGTCACCGCTTTGTATATAGCACTATCCCCTGCACTGTTTGTATATACACCTGGTGGAACTGTAATAAATACTGACTGTGCCTCTGAGTCCTGCATGTGAGTCCTCAGACAGAAACAGATTTTGGACCCGGATACGGCTAATGACGTCAGACTTAAAGACCGGATTAGCCATACTTTGATTACTTTGATTTGGATATATACACTCAGTTTAACCATGGACATGGTCAGCAGCAATACTATTCTGTGACATCAAGGGGGGCAAAATGTGCAAAGAAAACATCACCCGAATTACAATTACGTGACCATCACCAACCTGAACAATTGATGGGATGTAGGACAGATCCATGCTTTCATGACATTGGCACAGCAGAAATCAAGACAACGGTGTGGCGCATTCAGAGATGCTCTTCTGGATACCCTTAGTTGTAAAGACTGGACATTTTCTCTGACCTTTGGCATCAACAAGGCTTTCTCACCTCCTGCTCACTGGATATTTTCACTTTTCCACCTATTCTCTGTAAACCCTGGAGACATGAAACCATGTCATATTCAGAGTAACTTAAATCACCATTGTTCTTCATTCTGATGCTCAGATTGAACTTTAACAGGTCATCTTGATACAGTTTCAATAGTTGCCATGTGATTGGCCGATTAAGAAACAAGTGTTTCTAATAAAGTGGCCAGTGAGTTTATGTAGCCTCCAGATGTGAACAGTGAAGCCCTGAAGTGTCTTAAACCTGTATTTTTTGCAATGAGCACCAAGGGGAGGCTCCTTTGGTTGCAGAGGCAGTAATATGCTATTTTTTAACTTATTTAATGCTAAACTGTTTCCTAATGAATATATGGTACCAGTTGCTCGCTTCTTTTTAAAAAAAAATATATAATCACAATGTTCATTTGAAATCATAATTCAACTCAGATTGAAATAGGTGATAAAGCTGGAGACGTTTTGGACGTGTTCTTTCTTAACCAGAGGTTATTCCTGGCTAATGTCTGGTTGAGTAAAACAAAGGCTGAAGATGTCAAAACAGGACTAATGGGTAACACCAAGATGGCTTTGTCCATTTCATATAGAGTCATGTATCATCTACCAAACTTCTGGCATTGTGGCGAGCTGCTTGCACTCTTACTCTTGCCCGAGGAAACAGGAAATGTGGGAAACAGTACGGTTAGGTCAGAAAATGTTTGGACACCAACACATATTCCTCAGTGTCAGCAAAGCGCAAGACACTAGATTTGAAATGACAAGATAAGTTGCAGTTAAAAAGTAGACTTTAAGCTTCAGCGGAGTTGCTCGTTTTGGACGTAAGGCCTACACCTGTGGGTGATCTGTCATATCAAAAACCGTCCCAGGATATTTCTAGAGATAAAATACGCTAAGCAGCTCTTACTGCATCCAACAGTAAAGTGCAGGCTCTGCTGTTCGCAGTGATGTAATGCCTAAAATGAGTTTCACTCCCCTTGCAGTACCCCTTGCCAATGGTTTATAATGTTACTTAAAAGATATTCTGTGAGTCATGAAGTGAGTACATTTCAGCGCTTTCTGTTTCATCACCCTGGAGGAGTTTGTTAACAGTGGGAGCCGTAAACCGCGTAGCTGGCGATAAGAAAAGTGATGATTCCAATGTTTCCTTTCCATTTGTATTTTAATTTTATCCCGAAACACACACACACACACGCTCATACGGACTCAAATGTAAACCTGGCAGCTCCCCTGCCACTCGGCTTCTGAGGTTTGGAGGTCTCTGATAGGAAGCCTCTGAAATGGAAAAGAGATAAGAGTAAATAAACAAATAAATACAATAAAACTGAATTTGTGCTGGTTCAGTGCACACAGAGGAAAAGAGGGGGAGAGAGAAAAGGAGGGAGTGCACTCTGCGAGGCCTGACGGCGAATCCCACAAAGGTGCATTCTCAGTAAAGCAAAGCAAGGTAAATAGCTAAGTGAATTCATGCGAGTTGCATTTATTCACTGAAATCTGATGGAGAGAGACACCATTTTGACTCAGACAATGAAGCTATCGGTTACTACCTCTGATATGATCTCTGTCCATTTTGCACTACCCAATTGCTCCAGAAAAGGCATTTTTATTTCCATCACAATAAAGTTATTTGGTGCTGTCAGCTAATTCTCAATGGCACGACAAGCTTTCTTTGGGCACACATCGATACCTTCGCAGAGGAAACCACGCTAAACCAAATGTTCTGCACAGCGAGCCCGCCTTTAATGCAGTGCCACGGGCTTTGATGTGCACCCACACCAACACACCACTCCAACAGCCTTTCTTCTCAGATGTTGCTTAATTACACTATCATAGTCTGTTAATTACCTTATCAGTGGTGCATAATCCCATGGTCAGTGTCTGAACGCCACGTATCAAAGCAAAGCAACGTCTCTTTCATGCGGCGGTTTCTTTTTTCAGAGGCCCTGATTAGTGAATTCAGTGGTTTGTGAGATTGCAGATGAGGTTATTTTTTACTAACAATTAGTGTCTCGAGGCCAAAATAAAAAAGATTTTTAAAAAGGTGTGTTTATTTTGTTTTGTTTATTTAGTAGTAGCGCTCTAACGGTAACTCTAATTGTTGCCCCAGAGAATCCGTCTTAGTCATATGATTAATGAAAACAGTGCAAGGCTGGATTTTGTAGATATAACATTAAAAGAATAAATCAGCTCACTGGAAAAATGTTTAAATATTTGCTTTCTCATAGAGAGGGAGTTGATTGACTGAAGAGATGATTGGCCTAGATTAGTACAGCCGGTGCGCTCTACAGTTTGTTTGTTTGGTACTTTTTGGTATTAAAGTAGGCAAAAGATGTTAATTTCTATGCATCTAGTGTACTCATGGGGCAAAGGTAGGGTTAGTTCACTATGGCCATAACTCACATCGATCCAATAATAATAATAATACAGGTTCAAAAAAATCAAGCAGCACACAAGACAACAGGACTCTCTCAAAAAACAACAAGTATGGTTTTTAGGACTTCATCCAGCCATTTAAAAGCTCTAAGCACAGCATTAGGACTGTATGAATTTATTCATTTCTTACATTGCTGTGGAGGAAACATGGCATCAGTACATTGAGGTTTGCAGGCATTCATTTATGAACAGCTCTCACAGCATTTCAGTCAGGTCAAGTTCTGGACTTGCAACATTTGTTGCTATTTTGGGGTCATTGTCTTCTTGCATAACCCAATTTCAGCCAAGTTTTGGCTTTTTGACAGAAGACTTCATTGTGGAATCAGTGACTGCAAGCCGCCCACATCCTGCGGCTGTGGTACGCCCAAATCATGACTCTTCCACCACCGTGCTCAACAGTTGCTATGATACGCTGACATGGCGTGTTTGGTTTTCACTAAATGTGGCACTGTGCATTATGCCCTGACATCATCACTTTGGTCTCATCAGTAAAAAAAGGGACATTACTCCAGAACTGCTGTGCTTTGTTGAGATCCACAGAGCTCAGTATACTGTAAATGTATACTGAAAAACAATCTCCCCATAAAGCCCTTATTATTTGGGCTGGATCAGGTAATTGTGCACCATCCCTTAATTACACTGTAATAGGCCAAGGCTGGCTGGAGGCTTTCCATGATGCATTGACTGTCTCTTCTTCCTGTTAAAAGGTAGTTTTTCCTTCCCACTATTGCCAAGTGCTTGCTCATAGGGGGTCTGATTGTTGGGGTCTTTGCCTGATAATAATATAAAGAAACCATTCTTGTGATGTTTTTATATTTAATATATAAATAAAATTGAATTTAATTAAACTGTAATTCTCTTGAATTGCTGGGATTCATGCCTACCAATACTTACTTCAAGTGCATTTAATGCGGTGCATATGTGCCGATCTCCACGCATCTCCGTTTTGATGTGGAGATGATAATTAAGAAATAATTGAAGCCGCTAGAGAAGTGTGAAAGATGCATTCTTAAATGTCTGTGTAATTCTGCTCAGAATATGTTAACGTATGCACAGATGTTAATGCAGAATCTACGTTGGGCTCCTGTCTTCGCGCACCTCAGCGCTTCCACATATGTACTTACCCTCAGCTCTGCTTGCAGCCTTACTGGATCTGTCAACTTGGGGAAAATTTCCATTTTGCAGCTAACTCTGCAGCCTTTTGATGGGTGCGTCTTGCCGACTTTTATCTCTCAGCGCGTCTGAAAACTAATTAATATTTTTTTTACTCTCACTCACTCTCTCTCGCTCCCTCCTTCAGGCAAATATTTGTTTCCTCTGAAGTGAGCGTGGGCAAACCTTCTTCACGGCTCCATATGCTGCCAGCTGCCAATCAAGCGAGCTAGAACCCTGAAACTAATCGCAACCCCCTCCTCCTCCTTTCTTCTGCGTCTCCTCTCCCTCTCCTTCAGCAGAAATGAAGGAGCTTGGGAGAGTGATGTTTGTGTGTGAGTGTATGTGTGTAGGGGGTGTTACAGGAAAATAAAGACATACAGTAGAGAAGAAAAATGATGGCTGAGACACGAGCCCAAAGCAGGATCTCCTCTGTTGTGTCTGTCCACAGAGCACTTCATGCTTGTCTCTATGCTAAGCTCTCTGTTTCTATTTTACATCCTGCTATTTATTTATTTACTGTTCACATAGATTGTACTGTCTCTGTGCTGGATTTGTACTTGTTTGCTTGACAGCTCCAAGAGCGAACAGCGTGTGTACACAGTGGCTGGTGTATGTGTGCGTCCTACCAGATAGCTACAGTGGTGCCAAAAAAAACATACAGACTAGGACAGAACAGCTTTGCATGCCCCCACCCCCACGCAACCTGCAGCAGGTGAATGAAGAAGGTAACAGAAATGTATTTTGTCAGTCATACTGGTGTGTTTCCACGTGAGCTCGCTGTCTCTGTAAGATACTCAGTGGTTGAGAGTGTTTCCCATGGGGCTCTTTGTGCATATAGCACCACTGTGGATAATGAGGGAAGAGAGGGAGATGATGGACAAGTGTCCAGTGCTCTTCTGAGGAACTTTTAGGGCAACATTTTCAGCATTAGCATGAGGCTCGTAAGCCTCTTCTCTTTTTTTTCCAACCAGGGATTTATTTTAGACACATACACAAAAAAATGATCATATCTCTC